CCATTTGGCTCAGTTTTAGAGGGGCTGGTGCTGTAAAGTTAATGCAGTGAGAAATCTATGGTGCTCTGGCATTAAACCCAACACGGGACATAAAGAATTGGGGCTGCTCTAAGCCATGGCAGCAGGTAAAGAGATTAAGCAATCTTTGCAGATGAGAATCATCCTGAGTGGGTGGGAAAGGGCCTCCCTGCACTGAGAAACTGGGAACTAGGAGAGAGATGGGTGGGCTCTGTGCCCTAACCATCTGTGCGGTAAGGTCTCTGAAAAGCCAGCCGTTGTATTTAACCATTGCTGGACCCCCCAAATCAGGGAAGTACTGAGAGAGAGAGAGAGAGAGAGAGAGAGAGAGAGAGAGGGAAAGTACTCACATGATAGTTTAGTTCATTTATTTATCCTTTGTGTGTTTGTTCTCATGCCTGACTTGGCTTCTGGGAGAACAGGATACGGGTCCTCCCTGGTGACAGCAAGGCATCAGAGCACAAAGAAGAGAAAGTATCTCAGGCCGCTGGGCATTGCAGCTCAAGGTTCCTGACCAGGCTTCCAGGCCAGGCGGGCAGGGCGATGTGGGTGCTGCCGAGGAGATTTGGGCCCCGGCCCCCGGACATCATGCTCAGTGCTCCCCCCACCGCCCGACCACTTTTTGCCAGGGGACTTAGACAAGGAGATTTATTTGATCAAGGCACCTTCTCTCCCCAACCTGAGAGGCTGAGTCAGAGACCGCCAGATCCACAGGTGTCACCTTCCCAGGTAGCTGTCATTGAATGCGTCTGCTCTGCTTAAGGGCGATTGACTGGCCAGAAGCACGTGTGGGGACACAGCAGCTCCGTATTGGGGCAGGTCAAGGACCTGAGTGACTGAACACAGTGGAAGGACCAGTCCTGAAGGGGGCAGTGAGGGGCTGAGCTGCTGAGGAAGGGGCTGGGGCCTCTGGAAGCCTCTGGAAAGTCTGCAGAGAGGCCCTGGTGTGGTACCTCCAGAGCTTTCAAGGCCCCTCACCCTGGCCTCTGACAAAAGTACCCGATAGTTTTTTTGTGCTTATCCGGGACAACTGGATTTCCTCCTGTGGTGAAAAGCCCAGAGGAAAGAGGAGACTGGAGGGAGGTGCGCAGGGAGGGTTGGGCTGGGGGAACAGAGAGGGAAGGCAGGGTGCAGAGTGGACAATGAGAGCTGAGCAGGGAGCAGCAGGATGGGCAGGAAAAAGTCAAGGCCACGATCCCAGATTTCAGAGGCTGTGACCCTCCCAAGGGCCCCAGAAAGGGTGGGAATAAAGGGCAAGCAGGGCAAGCGTGGCCCTCCCCTGGAACTCAGTGGCAGCCCTCTGAAAGCACTCCCCACAGCTGGCCCGGCCTCCCCACGCTGAGGCGGGGGTCTATGTCAGACCCAGCTCCCTGTCCCGAGGGCCCCCCGGCACCCGCAGACAGGAGATGAACAACTGGAAGCATGTGCTTAGGGCTGTGATTCTCCACATGCTTCGTCCACCTGCTAACTGGCCCCTGAAATGCTGCCTCTTCCAGGAAGCCTGCTGGCCACCAGAATACAGCTCACAATGAGTCTCCCTGGTGCTTCTGACCCTGGCCTCCATTCTAAGGGGACAAGTGCAGCTGCCTTGAGATTGCCACCCCTTTTCCAGTCAAGGCGTGGGCTTCGCACAGCTCCCTGTCGTCGGCCATCGCCCGGGGCCCCCTGTCTTGTCTCATGGGAACAGGTAGGGCTCCTACAAGGGCAGGCAAGGTCTCCACGAGCAGCTTTGCCCCGTGAGCGCTGCAGGCCAGGTGCTGGGGCTGCACGATGCTGTGCTGGACCAAAGATGGTGGCAGGGTATTTGGGTCGCCAGGGGGGTCCTCAGATCCCGTAGGGACCAGGCTCCTGCTGCCCAAGGGCTGAACTCAGAACCCTTCCGAGGCCCGAATCTTCGCCCCGGAAAGGGAAGAAAGCAGTGTTCTGCACAAAGATCAACCTGTCTCAGGATGTCACCGCACACGGGGACCCTTTCTTCCTTACAGAACCCATTGGCCGAGAATCTACTCTGTAAATCCCGAATTCTAACCTGCAACCCACAGATTCCAGGGAGGCTGGGGGTTAACTTCGGGACTCCGAGAACCCGCTGCACCAGGGAGCGTCTGCCGAAGGGATCAGTCAGGAATTCATAAAGTATTTATTTAGTGGCCCCCCCGGCCCCCACCGCCCTTTCTTAAGGTAGAATTGATGCAAAGTTTCCAAGACAAGCCCGCGATTGCGGCTGTCACCAAACAATGCCATATTTCTTTTCTTCTCTTAAATTCTAGGGATCATTCCCTGTAAGAGGGCAATTTGTCTGTCAGGCAGGCAAAACAGGGGCTGCTCCCTGCCCTCATTAAACTGACAGCACGGTTATTAGCCGAAAACGAAGCCCGCCCGCCATGAAGCTAGCCACTGTTTTATGGCGAGCACCAGGGAGATATTTTCAGTAATTAATTTGATAAATATATTAATTATGAATTGAGTTGACAGTACAATCAGATTGTCAGCCTTCCAGACAGCCTCTTGTGATAAAGCTCTGTGATGAAGTGGTTGGATTTCAGACCTGTCATCCTGCAGGGCAGTCCCTTATCACCGTCTGCCCATTCACTATAATTTCCTGCGCGTTGTAATTAAATGGTAGCTTTCTGATTGGAAGTGACTCCTCAAACTTAATCTCTCTTTCTTTTCCAGCCCGGTGGGGGAGGGGTACAAAAAAGCCCTTTGTTTCAGGGGATTTTTAATGTTAAGAAGCGGTTTTCTTTCCCCCTCTCCTTTCAATGCACCTATCTGGTCCCACGGGGCCCCTGGAGTGGGGGAGAGAAGGGGGAGCCTGGTCGGGGGTGTCTGGCGACAGAGGAGCCATGGAGGGCTGGGGGTGCTTACATGTCCTTTGGGCAGGTGACTGCTCCTCTGTGGGCCTGTTTCTTCAGCCAGAGGAAGAAGGGATTGGTCAAAATGGTTCCGTGGGCATCCCCGGGCCTGAAATTCTGGGTTCCTGGGGACTGAGCAACTTTGCAGGCTCCCCTGCCCTCCAGAGTCCTGGGAAGGGGAGAGGGGGGAGGGAAGGAGAAGCGAGCCAAGTGTCAGCTGTATTTCTGCAGGACAGGTCATTCAGGGAGTCCCTTGCCAGCATTTTTTTTTCCCCTTCTGATGAAATTAATTATGAACACTGCCCGGGGTCATTTGACTCCGGAGATACATGTCAAGATAAAATATTTCAGAAACACTTATATTTAATAATTTAATATGGTGGTTCGCATTTGGGTGCAACAAAGGGAATTATTGGTAATTGCACATTTTAAAGAGGCAGGAGGAAGCCCAGCGAAGTGGGGAGACCACAGGACAAAATGGGGAAGGTCGCCAGAGGTTTTTGTTTTGGGAGGAGGATCCGTGTCATTTGGGTATCTTGTATGGAAGTCAACTCCTGAAATCTTTTGAGGGAGTAGCGTCCAGGGCCCCAGGTGGCACCAGTGGGACAGAGAAAGAGAGAAAGAGAGAGAGAGGACAGTGGAGCAATGGGTAGTCGTCCTCAGCCTTGGAGGCAGAAAGCCTGTCGTCTGGGACTCAGAGACACAGGGGTTGTCCCATGTCACACAGCTAAGGAGCGAGAACCCCCAGAAGCTTGGTCTCCTAGGCCAGTGCTCCCAGATCACGGGGCTCCGAGGAAAGAAGAGCAGTTCTGCGTCAGGAAAGCCGAAATTCCAAATCCAGCTGCCACTTGCCCACTTGCCCGTCATGCCTCAGTTTCTTTATTTGCAACACGGGCTAGTAAACTACCCGCCTCAGACCTGACGTGAAGATGAAATGAAGCAATGCGTTGCGGAGCAGCCAAACCACGGTGGAAGCTAAGGGGTTATCGGCCGGAGCACAGCGGTCCTTGGTGAATATGCACGCACGCAAGCACGGCCCCGTGAACAGCTGACGTTGAGGTCTTTAGCTGCTCTGCTGTCTCAGCCTTGTCTGCCACCCTTGTTCCTTGTGATGCTATTCTCCATTCATGGCCAAGCACATGGCCAGGGCCCCCACTGAAGCATGGCACAATGGGTTAACTCCCAACAAGGACCCCAAAAAACTAACTCGTCCTGCTCGAGGACCAACTCATCTTGTGGCTTTGGCCGAATCCGCCTTCGAGGCCTATTGTTTCTGCATCTCTAAACCGTAGGCAAGCGGCGTGCCTGAGGGAGCTGTGCGGGTGGGGGCTCGTCCAGGCCGGGTGGTCTCTGATGGTCTGGGGCCTGCCCCCCTCCAGTGGGGAGAGCCGGCCAGTCCCTTCCCTGCTCTGGGCCTTTGTCCCCTCATCCTTAAAGTGAAGGTGCTGCCCTCAGCCCCTGGCGGTATCATTGGAGAAGCTGCCGTGGCCTGGGGTCTACAGCTGGACCACACTTAAACTCAGCTTTCTCCAGAAACCACGCATCCTACTAGAAAATTCAGTTTTTGTCCATCACCTGGAAATCTCAAGCCTACTTTGAGCAGAGCCTAGGGGCCAGGGTCACGAGGATCAGGGCTCAGATTCCCAAGTGGAGGAGCCCCCCCCTTAGGGCCCCTACCTGGTAGGTTGCACCCATGGGAGTCCCCCCAGTGCAAGACAAACCCGAAGTTACACCCTGCTTTACCTGCCGCTGGAGGCAAAGCCCCATAAGCATGACCGAAAGTTGTAAGATGATGTAAGAAAATGACCACTCACCCTAGAAGGATTTCTGTTCATGTTTCTTTCATGAACAAATGCCCACTTACTTTTTTCCAAAGTTCCAGATTGTGGTCCTTTTCTTGACTTTTCCAAGAAAGCATAGGTACTAGGAGCACAACCAGAGTTGAGTATTTTCCTTTGTCCGGTCATACTCGAATCTATATTTTAACACGTTCCCATTTTATTTCAAAGAGGAGACATGATTGCTCTTGAAAAAAAAGTAAGACCAAAGACAGGGTATTGTCTATTATCCTACCCCCCCCCCGAAATGTTCTCATCGGAGCCAGCCGGGTGTCATTTATTAAATCCCGAATGAAGAATCATAAGCTTCTTTATTTTATACCAGAAGCGACTGGTAAGTGGACGCAAATTGATTCTGGAGAGGATGCTAAGTGATAATCCTTCCCAGGTTCCCAGTAAAGAAAATATACCTATTTGAGGGAATTTTCAACTTGGGTTTGAACTTGCTGATGCCTTTTTAGAGTCCAAGTGGAAACTATGGAGCTTTTGTGTGTCCATCAGATAGCTTTGCTCAATGCCGAGGGAGGAATGATAAATATGCAGAACGCTTTGATGTTAATACCGAAAGGGCCTCCGAAGGGGTGGGGTAGAAGGCGGTTGACACTGCAGTTTTCATCCCTCGGCAGGGATCGAACGGATGCTTGAAAATAAATGGCCCCTGTGGAGAAAGTGCTCTGTCCCTGACTCTGTCATCAGAGCCCGCATTCCCCACCACCGGTTCGAGGACCCTGGGCTCAGAGATCTGCCTGGCAGGAGAAGGTGAATGCATGCAGGGGATAAAAGGCAGTGACTCACTTTGTTTTATTCTGTTTGCCAGAGAGCCTTTCTGATGAGCCCAGGCTAATCTTACGCAGGCAGGGATATGAAAGGGAAAAGCACTCTCTAGACATGAATAGACAGCTCCACTTGGCTCAGCTGCCTGCCCCACTGGGCCTCAGTTTTCCCGTCTGTAGAACGAGGGGGTTGGGCTGGATGAGGTCTGAGATGCTCTTCTTTGCCCTTGTTTAGGAAGAGGAAGCTGTCAGACTGGCCCCTGGTTGGGGATGGGCAGCGGGCAGCTCATGCAGGACAGGCGTCTGGGGAGGCATCTGTCTCAACCCCTCCACCCGAGAGCCAACCTCCCTTCTTGGCGTGGTGCGGTTGGAGGGAGGAAAGGGAGGGCATTGAGGGGTGCCGAAAGCCCTTCACAGAAGCCATGTATTGTCGGGGACCCTAGGGCTCTCTCTCATAGCCAGGGGATGCCTCTTCTGCTCTGGGAAGAGAGAATGGGTCTGGGGAGGGGCCATCGTCCTAGAAGTCAGGAGACCGCCCCCAAACCAGCCCACAGACCCTGGCTGTGTACGGGTCATACCTTTGCTACGCGATGCCCAAGGCAGAACCTCTACCCAGCCTGACCTGCCGTCCGGGCTGCAGCATGACTCTCAGGGGCGCTGGGCGCCCCCTTGCCCTCATGGACCCTTTCCCCCATAAAAAGTACTACAAATTTTGTTTCACAATTGCCTCAGAATGAAGGTGACTGTAATCCAGGCTGGATTCATTATTACATATCCATTGTTCTCCGATTCATTTCTTTCTTCTGATTTTAAGAAAAATGTGTGTGTGTGTGTGTGTGTGTGTGTGTGTGTGTGTGTGTGTGTGTACCCTTAAAAAAATGTCATGGGCCCTGTGTCTAGTGAATAAATGTCCTCCCTAAGAAGCCATCCCTTTTCAGGAGCTGAGAGCCCTTTGGATTTGCATGCCCACTAACTAGAAACCTGTCCAGTACTGGCCAGAGGTCAGAAGAAGATGGCAGCTATGTGCTCTGCTGAGTTGTCTAGGAGGGAAGGTAGGGGCCACCCTGGCATCGGAGTGCAGCCCAGCGCCGAGCCTGCGGCCTGGTACAGTGGGACGGTGTGTGCTTCGGGGTCAGAAAGACCTAGGCTCTTGTTTCTCCCACTGCTCTTCCCATCCGAATGACCCTTGCAACTTACTTTCTCTTGGTCCCATCCGGAAAATGGGACAATGCCACCTGGACCACAGGTCTCCTGAGGCGTGTGGCACTGGGTAAGTGGCAGCCATTGTCGGAATGTTCTGTGTCCCGTGACCTCAGGAGCCCTGTCTTCCATGAGGTCACAATGTCTGTTTGTTCCTAGAGTCCCACAAAGGCATCATGTTTGGCAGACCACATGGTCCAATTCTTTGCCTTGGGAATTAGGGGCTCATAACCCCCAGCGGGGGTTGACAAGGGGGATTTTTGTTTTTCTTTCTTCAACAAGAGATTTCCCAGGCAAATCAGCTGAACTGTCTGTACGGGAACAAAAGCTCTGGGGACTTTGCTGAATTCCTTCTGTTAGCTCACTGGCAACAAACTTCTTAAAAGTTGGCCAATCTCAGCCCTTAAGACATGGTGCACGGTTCGGTCCTGAATCAAATCAATGAGGGGAGTTCTGAAGCCTCCTGTAATTTTGTGTGGAAACAATGTCTTAAATTAATATTTTCTTTAGTTCAAAAGGCTGCCTGCGCCTTCGGCTGAGTACTCAGGCTGCGGGGGACCAGGAAGTGACCCTGGCCAGGGGGCCCAGCTATGTGGGGACAAAAGCCCCACATACACATCAATAACGAGAAAATATCTCACCCGGCAGCATTAGTCCACCAAAAATGTTTTACTCCAGTTGAGCACAAAAATCAGTTCTGAAGTGCAGTATATCACAGTCGTAAATTACATGTGTCCAATCCAAAAAGCGAGGGAACGGGGCAAAGGCGAAGACAAGAGAGTGCTCACCGGAAGAGGCAGCTGTGGACATGGCCCACGCTGTCGTGCCCGGGACACCGCCAACGTGTTCCTGTGGGTGACAGACTCCCGCCTGAACCCCTGCCCCAGAATGCAGGCGGGAAATGGGATGGGAGGTCAAGGCAGGGCGGAGCACGGGCCTGTGCCCGCACCCCTGATTTGTTCTAGAAGAGCCCAGAGCTCACTGAGCAGCCCTCAGATGTGCTCGGCCCGCTCTGCCTTTGGCTCTGTCATGACTCTAGGTTAACACCAAGGCAAGGCATTGTCTCGGATTGCCCACTATCCCCTTCCCTCCACGTTTCTGATTAGGGGTGCCCAGCTTTTAATGGGATTACATTTTAGGAACCGTAGATGTTGTTGAGTGGCTGCAAAGTGGCTTGCAGATGGGAGGAGATGCGCTTCCTTTCTGGAGTGGGTGGGCTTAGGAAGTCCTTGACAAGCACCCCCAAAGTGGACTTGCTTTCCCAGTAACTAGTGGGGAGCCTACGTGATGCTTTCCAAAGACCAGGTACTGCTCAGCTCTGTCCTGCCCCAGGTTCTTTCCAAGGACCAGCCCCCCGCTCCCCCGGCAGCTGCCCACCTCTCCCAGCTCCCCAGTCCCCCTGTAACTCCATGGGGCTTGTCACAGTCAGTGGTCGGGGCTTCTCCAGCGGCCCGTGCAGCATCCCGTCCGCTCTGGTCAAAACGAGAAGCAGCCCGGGCTGGGAAGCAGGGCGTGTGTCTCCGCGCACGAAGTACTCTCCCGTACCTCCGTGAGATTGCCCCACAGACGCCTTCCATTCTATTCTATTCTATTCCATTCTATTCTATTCTATTATTCTATTATTCTATTTCCAGATTCATTCCATTTCAGTGCCAGAATGAACCTTAGAGGTTGTCCTGTCTGACCCATTCTTTGTAGAGATGGGGAAACTGAGGTCCCCAGCAGGCAGTGACTGCTCAGGTCATAGGTTGAGGGAGGAGGTCTGGGATTAGGGCAGCTGGTGTCCTCCCCAGGGCTGTCCTGCCTGCCCAGGGCAAAGGTAGGCGTTCTGGGAAGCGCTTCCCATGCAGGGAGGTGGGGCATAGCACCCACTACCACCTACACCCCATCCTTTCCTCTTTTTCAGCTGGAGGGGGTCTTCTTCTCCAAGGGAGCAGCGACATCCCTCAGCTCTGACTTTCTCCTGAATGAACACTGCTCTGTTCTGTATGAACCATGATATGAACTGGAGCCCACTGAGTGATAGGATGTCTCCAGGGCTTGGGAAAACATCTCTTAGACTAAGCTTCAACCCCAAATACTGACCGGATCCTGGCTGGGTGGTGTCTCTGCCTCATTTGGGAGGAAAGGAAGCCAGGGGACAGGTGACCCACCACCTACCTCTGCTGACAGTGAAGCCACACAGCCTCTCAGCCTGGCCAAGCTCAGAACCACCTGTGTGGCCTTGACATCGTGAGATGGATGTGAGCCCCTTTGAGGGGGTTCCTGCTGAACCAAGGGCTTTACTGCCTGCCTTTCCTCTCTGAATAGGGTCACCCTCTACCCCACAGGTCCCCCGAAGTCCCCAGACCTGCCCGGGGTGGCCTTGCATGGGCAGGGGCAAAGAGTTCCCTGCCGCCATTCCCTGAGTCTTCTGTGAGGCCAGGTCTATGCTGGACCCTGAGGCTCTGCAGAGAGCAATACCCAGCCTTATCCTCGAGGGACTAGAGTTTCACAGAGGGGGCAAACAAGACGGGGTCTCCAAGTTCACAACTCTTCCACATGGGCATTATTTTCTCCCCATTTTAATTCATCTACTTCTTCAGCCAATATTTATTAGGTAGCAATGTATGAGGGATGATGGGTGAGGTCCCAGGGACGGAGCGGTGGATGTTACCCTAACTCAACTGCCTTCATGGAGCCCACAATCTGCTCCCACCCGACCCTCCATGCTTCGTACTCAAACCACACTGAATGAGTACCCCTGAGCCTGGCAAACCTTCTCAAGGGCTGCCTCCCTGCCTGGACCACCTTCCTTCTCCCCCACCAACCTTCTTCACCTGGGAAACTCCAAACTGCCCTTCTGAGGTCAGATCAAAAATCGCTTCCTGCCTGCCACTCTGGATGCCCTGGGGGAGGAGGGCCCTCAGGTCATGCACAGGACCAAGCTCACCAGGAGGTTCTACAATTCTTTACTTAGAAGCCACCTCCCCTACAAGGCTGTGATGGAAGGGGCGCTGTGTCTTGAGCCATCTTTCTACTCCCTATCCCTAGCTTGGAGCCTTGCATTTAGTAGTCCTTTTATCCACATTACCGTTGGATTGAATATCTACTGCACACCAAGCACTCCTAAGCCCCACCTTCCCTGCTCCGGTGTGAGACTACATTCAGGCCATGTGTACATGAGACAGTGATCCGTTTTGTAGAAATGTGTGTTTGCACTGGGGGTGGACAGTGAAGAATAGGGAGTTAAGGAAGAAAGAGAACCCAGAGCCTGGTTTCCCACTGGGGTCACTTTCTCCAGGACCTTTCTCATCTTGAGGGCCTCAATTCCATGGGTATGAAAGGTGTTAAGGGCCTGTTGTACTCTGGGCCACAGGCAGAGCTGAAGCAGCTGGCAGCTCTCTGCTGCCTGTTAGGAATTCAGAACCACACTAAGTGAGCACCATCTCCACCTCCATGTGGTCCTCCTGTCTGCTAGAACCCCCTCCAACCAGGTCATTGATGGTGCTCAGAACTAGAAGAGTTTGAAACTCTTAATTGATTAAATGAAGGAACGGTTGATTAAGGAATAAAATCTAAGCTGAAACAGTTGACAAAGTGAAATTATGACTCTGGCATGCAGTCATACAGGAAGATTAATGCTTTAACATCCGTGGAGCCCCCAGCATTTCAGAAATGGGTCAAGCCACCCAAGCTCTCATTTCAAGGCTGTTGGATCTGAAGTCCCGGGAGATCCAGACACTCCCCCAAAACACACAAAAGCAAGTTTATTTGTTCATTTATTCAACTAAGATGTATCGAGGGTCTACTATGACCACGCACTCTTCTACGTCCGTGGGATACATCTGTGAATAAAATGGACAAATATCCATGCAGTTTGGAGAAAGAGACCATAAGCAATAATAAGCTGGTAAATTATATGGTGTGTTAGAAGGTGAAAAACGGAATGAAGAAAAAATAGGCAAATAAGAGGACTGGGAATGCGTGTATGGGGGGTATATTGTGGGTGTGGGTTTGGGTGGAATTAAATTGTGTGACTTAAACAGGGTGGGTACGGTAGACCACATTGCCCAAGTGAGACTGGCATAAGGACTTTCAAAGGAGGAGAGGGAGTTTGTTTCTAGTAACGTTGCAGGTCTGTCGTGAGTATTAAGTGAGTGTGTACTTGGCATGCCCTAAGGGCTCTGCAAACGGTAGCTGCTCTGGAAATTATCGCTGTCACCATCGTCATCGTAGTCTTCATCATAATCACTTTGAAATTTTATGCTTCCACCTGTAAGGATTTCTTTCCTCCTCTTATTTCATTTTTCCCTTGGAATGACTAGGTGGGATAAGCGTTGGAAGCAATGAGCTCGCAGTTGCCATTTCTGCAGGTTCTACGTCTCAGGAAGACCTTCATGGGATTTCCCATCCAGAGCGGTTTCTGCTGCTCCAGGATGAAGGAAATTGTCAGGAACCGTTCCTTGTGAAAGTGCGGGTGGGGGTTCCAAGATTTCATCCTACTTGCAAGTTGACAACTTAGTCTTCTGCAGTTTCACGGATGCTGGCAGGAGACACAAGACTCCTGGGCCCGAAACCAAGGACAGTTTATTACTTAGAGCAACAGCAGAAGCTAGAGTATCAGGATTCGCACCAGTTCTGTAAGACCCAGTTCCTACAGGGCAATGTGATGTGGGCCAGGTGATGCCCTGCACAGGTAATGAGTTGCATTATGCGAGAGGGGCACGAAGCTTAGGGAACCTGGAGCTTTTATAATGGGCAATAAGCCTACTTAAACTTGGCCCAAAGGCAGACATGATCTAATACACTTGTCAGTTAACAAATCTGCCCTTTGCTCTAGAGGGAGACCCTACCTATCTCCCAAGGCCGTTTGCCATGCAGATGTCCTTGGTAAGACTGTCTGGGACAAAGGCGGTCAGGGCTTCCATCATCAAGACATGCAGAAACACAAGAGACCCAGGGAGAGTTGTCTCCCACTAGGCTTAAGGAATTAGCTGGTAAGATACATGTAACAGAGTCCCTGGTGGAGTTTAGTGTTTGTCTCTTGGCAACTCCAGGGTGAGTGAGAATCCAGCCTCGTTACTTAGAGGCTTCTGCGCTT